TTTGATGTTATACAAAGTTTCAAGCACTTCTTGGGATCATTTCGGACAGTTATGCAATGTGAATGAAGTTTTTGCCTTTTTGTGCTCCCCTCCTCTACTTTTTTTTGCTCTTGGTGCTCTGCTGTTTGGAAGTGCGGTTGTAATTATTGCACGATGAAGTTTGTCCTACCCGCAATAAACTACTGCGAATCGTGACAGGAATGCAAGGCCATGGTTACTGGCACACACATAAACATAACATTGTGCAGCATCTCCGCAACAAGAGAAGGCGAACAAACACATGGTATGCTTGCCACAGCCCATACAAATCTCTAGCTTTCTGTCTATTATGTCTTTCAATTTCGGTCAGCAAGACGCCTAAGATTATGAGATACTCTGTTCTTTCTGCCACCTCGATTTGTAGTTGTTACAGATAGTTCGCTTAGCGGTCATTACCATCGAGGGAGAATTGTTCTACGTTCTGCTTCACATAGATCAATCTGTATGTGGCTGCGTTCCCTGTGTTTATCATAAGTCACCGCTTAGCACTACTGGCTCCTCCGTCCCCAATACGACGATAGTGGTTATTCTGTGAATTGTTTGCTAATGTCATCACTTTCACGATGGTAGTGATTGCTTTATTTGACGTTATAGCAGAGACTAAGATCATAAGTCTGTTTGTTACATCTTCATCAGCGCACTCGTAGGCGTTCGTAGTATTTTTCCGTAAGTGTAGGGCCCCGATAGACGCCATGTTGTACGACGTTGTTCAATGATTGTAATTTATTCACTGTATTTTTCTAGGAATGTATGGTTTGTGCTTTCTGGTTTCTTTGTTCAGCTCCGTCGCGTTCTTTTCAGTCACTACGGGCGTTGAGTATGTTGTTAGGTATCGCATGCAGGTTCGATGTTGATTTTCTTTGTTTAGACTTATGCTTTGCATTTACGCCATCAGTTTACCTCCATCGAAAATAGTTATGAAGTCAACGCGGATATTCGGTTCTTTCAGCGAGGTAACGTAGGCTGTTTACGCCGTTTACTTCGTAGTTCATAATTGTTTGATGTTTTCAGAGTATGGCGTTCGTGAAGCTGCTTCTGTATTCGTTTGCGTGTAGAGCGTTGTTCTTTTCTGTTTTCCTGTTTGCCGGTAAGACTGTCTGCTCGATCTACCATTGTCGTTTTGGGGGGGGGG